GTACATCATTCAGGGTATTGTTAGCAAGAGTCAGATCTATTCATTCAATCAGTTCCAAGTCAAATTTCCAAGTCCAAAGTACAGGACTAGGGTCTGGCTATTGGTGACTTTAGACTCTAAGACTATTATCCATGAAGTCAGGGATTGTGTTTATCTTGTCCATCACCCTCTATTTTAAGTACCTGGTCCAAGGTAACATTTGATATATCTGAATGAATGAAAATTTACCTTGTCAGATTTATTGATAGCCACTCAACTGGTCTGTCTCCTGGTGACATCAATCATACCACACAGGATTTCTTTTGAAGTTCTTGGTAAATGCATTATTCTCATTTTATAGACTTGAAAACCAAGACATAAAGCATCTAAATAACTTCCCTATTGTCACAAAAATAGCTGAATGACATTGGAACTTAGATGTAGAGAAATCCAAAGATCAAACCATTTTCATTCCATGCCAGTACCCATAGGAATAGTTCAACCGTTAAAGATCACAGCTAAGTTCTTAGAAAAGAACTTAAATTAGGTTTTGGAAGTTGTATAGTACTTCAACCTGGAGTCAGTATACGCATTATTAACAAAGGTGATTGAAGTGTTAAGACATTGCATATTACATTGAGAAAATATTAAGAAATTAATACTATTTAACTTTAGTATATAAGCTATGAATTTTAAGATGATAGACAATATAGAAAAGTATGATCATTAAATTTATGAATGACAGACTGAGTAACTTGAACATTCTTCTATAAATAACCAAAAGCAAACAAAGATTTTAACGAAGATATGAAACATAATTAGAGTCATGTTTTATAATGAACCAAATTGACGTGTTCTTCAACTGGAAGTATGATGACTAGTTAATATATTATGAAAATAGTGCATGTGGTGATAGTAAGGATAAGAAGGTAAGAAGGGGGCCTCCCCTGGTGGCGTAGTGGTTGAGCACTGGATTGCGAAGCTGCCTGCAGCCTCTGCAGCGCCTGTTCCATCCCTGGCCTCCGGCGAGGGTCCCACATGGCGCAGACCTCTCCTGCCGCCCGCTGCTCCCCTCAGCAGTGTACTTTGTCAGTCTGCCTGCTCTGCTCTCTGCTCTGACTCTGGTGAATTCCCTCACCCTCCCGCGCTTCTGACTATACCCAGTGCTTGTATAAATAAATAAATAAATAAATCTTTTAAAAAAAATTACTAAAAAAAAAAAGTAAGAAGGATAGAAGTTTCAAAGTGCTCTGAGTGTTAAGAAAACACAGGTAGAGTAATGGAGTATTAATATAATCAGAGGAATTACATTGATGATGGAGGAAGATTGTGCTTTTGGTTTTGTAGATTAAATTTGCATTTTTGTAGTATATCCTTATGTAGCTGAACAGCTGCTGGGCCTTTAACTTGAAAAGTCAGGGCAATAGTCACCTATTTGGGATTCTTCTGCAGAGAGACAGTAATTGAAAAAATAGGGTAAGTGAGATTATCAGAGGCAAGAGTATAAAGAGTAAAAACTTGAGTAAGCATCAAGCAGGAATATTTCAGGGTCAGAAGGAGGAAAGAGAAGCCTCAAAGTAGACAGAAAAGGCGCGGTCAAAGAAGTAGGTAGTTATTACTTCCCTCAGGTGGTTATTTCTTCTAGTTTCAATACTGAGCACTACTGTCTTAATTTAATGATAGAAGATGATGAAAATAACTAGGAGGAAGTAAGCTGGTAAATATGGATCAGGCCAAGGCAAATTTGATGAGCTGAATAGAAAATTTTTTTTGGTGACCATTTACTTAAAAAAAAATTTACAATGTTACTTCAAACCTGGTTTATTTTCTCAGACTTGTTCTCCCTGCTTTGAATATATTTAAACTGGCAAAGTCTAGATAATACAAATGGATAATTAATAGTAAATTTTTATTATAAAACATTCAGGACATTCTTCTAAGTAAGTCAGGTTGTAGAATTGATTCAAATGTGAATTAAATTGCTAGCAGTTGATGGTATAGGAAGTAAACTGGCAAACATGGATTAGGCCAAGGCAAATTTGACGAGCTGAATAGAATTTTTTTTTGGTGACCATTTACTTAAAAAAATTTACAATGTTACTTCAAACCTGGTTTATTTTGAAATAGTCAATTAATTGTATCAGTTTATCTCAGCTAATAATGTACTCTTATTTTTCTAATATTTTATGTCTTTGCCTTCAGGTTTCAACTTTTTAGTATGTTAATATTTTTACTTTTTAAAAGTTCCAATTAAACATAAGTAGCATTACTTTCTCCATCCTTTCACAATGTTAAAGTCACAAAAGTATTTTCCTCTCTTTGGATATTTTTGATTGGTAAGCATATAGCATATTTGCATTATTTCAGTATGTGATACTTTTATATAAAGCAAATAAAAAGTGAAAGAGAAGATTCACTCCTCAAGATCAAAACAAGAATATGCATATTTTATAAATTTCTGAATATTTTCTCCTAATCTAGACCTGTTCTTGTTGAAAAATAAGCAGAGAATTTGGAAAATTGTTTTTCAGTTGCAGAAATTTTTCCAAATTTAACCTCTATTATTAATTTCAACTAATATAAGAAATTAGGTAAATAATACCCATGATTCATATACTACATAGAAAATGTCTGTAATCTCGGTGCTTTTTTGCTATTTCTTGAGATTTATTTTTTATACATACAACAACTGGGGTATAGCCAGAGGTGTGGAGTGTGAGAGGATTCACCAGAGACAGAGTGGGGAACAGAACAGGCAGATTGACTTAGATACACTGCTGAGGGGAGCAGCGGGCGAGTCAGGAGAGGTCTACTGTGCAATATGGGTCTCCTCCCTGACCAGGGATCGAACTCATGCTGCAGCAGCTGCTGCTAGCTTCATAGGTTGTGTCTTAACCCCTTGTGCCACCAGTGAGGCCCCTTTTTTGCTATTATTTTTAAAGAATATTTTGGTTGGCAAAAATATGAAAATGAGTTGATGTCATAGTAGATATTATTCTGGGAGAAGGCAACTAGAACATAAAGTAAAAAAAAAAAAGATTGAAAAAATCCTCGATAACAATTTAACAGAGTAGACTCCAAAGTCAAATAATTCATTCTAGTGCCAGATGAAAATATAGTCTTCTCTTTATAATTATTTCTTGTCTAAAAAAATGTAAAAGAAATTACACTGTACTTAATTTAAATTAATATTCAGAACAAAACAATTTTGTGGTTATTGTATTCCTCACTCATTGTGCATAAAAGAAGGCATGGATCACAGAACATATACAAGATATGTTGAGAGCATATTGTGACATACACAACTTTTTGAGAATTATTCCACTACTGTTGGGTTCCCTGTCAGTGTTCTGTTAAGAGATTTTCAGTTCCATTAAGGGAATTTTTAAAATTATTTTTAGTATTGTAGCCTTTAAATACTTCGTAGAGAGGAACACAATGATGACAAAATTGTCTTGTCCTGTAAAGAAGTTCACTAGTAGCTTGTTGAAGTACTTGAAGTGGTCAAAATAACAGGTATAACAGGTATAACCTACCTGTTAACTGTATAACAGGTGGGTTATACATTTTTCCTTTACAAGTTAAATTAATACTGTTTTAAAAATGCTTTAACAAATTTGAATGAGTGATTAACTGTTTTGCAGAAAAACTCATTAATTTAAAGTATTCTAAAACAGAAAGCACTTTGAATAGATTCTGAGAAAAATTTCCACTGTTACACGATTTTATTGCATTTTAACAGCAGATGTAGATATACCATCTGTAAATACTCTCACACTCCTTAATTTAAAAAATAACTAACATTTTATGACCGGTTAAAAAATTTTCTCAATTAAGAATTCAATGGATCTTGAATTCATTACTAAAAATAAAACAATGCAACAGCTTCTAATTATGTGTTGAAAACAAATGATTGGTACCCAGAAAGATACTAAGTGACTGAATTTCAACAAAATATTTTCATTATTGATGGATAATATTAATAAATACTATATTTCCTAATTGCGTCCCCTTATATACTCATTCCATTAGAATACATTGTTTTTTGCAAAGTTTATTTTTCGGATACAGTAATCCTTAAAACTATTTTAAAAAGTGAACTTTTAATTTGACTTTTAGGTCACAAAATGATAAAATCAGACTTTTATAGTTTAGTATGTTCAATTACATGACTCACTAAAAACAGATATTAATAACTATCACAAGCAGATTTTAGACATCATTAATAACTAAAACTAAACATTATTTTTAATCTAGCCTTTCTATTTTACTATTTACTTATAACTGTATATGTTTATACAATATAATAGTACAGTGGTATATATAAAATATATTTAAAAAATAAATATGCAAGGATGTTTATAAAAATACAAGGAAGTTTTATTATTAGGGGGTTGCTATTCAAATAATTTGGAATCCAGGGCCTCCCTGGTGGCGCAAGGGTTAAGACGCAACCTCTGAAGCTGTCCGCAGCCACTGTAGCATAAGTTCGATCCCCGGCCAGGGAGGAACCCTGGCACAGCAGACCTCTCCTGACTTGCCCGCTACTCCCCTCAGCAGTGTACTTTGGTCAATCTGCCTGTTCTGTTTCCCACTCTGTCTCTGGTGAATCCTCTCAACCCACCCCCACCCCGCCACACCTCTGGCCTGTCCCCCAGCTCTTGTATGCATAAATAAATCTTAAAAAAAAAAGTTTGGAACCCACTAACTTAATAAACTAGAATGAAAAAAATAAAATATTTTTCTGTGACAGTAACAATTGTATGAAGAGCAAATAGTACTTCAGTAACTATTATCAATAAGCTCTAACCACATTATGACTTTTCATCCATCCCAGGCATTTTTGCCTTTTTACGCCTCTTCCTCCATGAAAACATTTAAAATTATATTTTATGAATACGTTGGAATAAAGACAAATTATTAATAAAACATGTTTTCTTCAACCTAAAAGTTTACTTTTTACTTAATTTTAAGTAAATTAGACACTTTTATGAGCCCCTAACAGTATGTATAGTGGACTCTACGTCCTGTGGTATGTGGGTAATTTGACCCTGATATCAACACCATAAGAGATAAAATAAAGATTCTCATATTTAAATTTCTGTTTTATAACTAGTCACCGTTTGTTGCATAGTAGCCACACATGAGAATCACACATGCTTCATGAGGAGAGGTTTATGCACCACAGGGCTTGCATTTTCTTCAAATAATCCTTCAAAAACGTTGTCTTCTTATTTGACAGTTGGTGGATTTCCTAGGACAGCAGCTAGGACATAAGAAGAGGAGAACGTGAACCTGACGCTACAATCTAGCAGTGCGTGGACAGCGCAGGCAGAGTCTGTGCAGGTGTACTCCTAGCATGAATTAAATAGGCAGTGAGGGGCCCAATCTTTAAAGTAAAAGCCTACCTCCTTCCCATGGCATACAGGCCATCGCATTTTCTCCTATCTCATCTGCTGCCACTTTGGTTCTTTGCCATACTCCTATCACACTGGTCTTTGTAAGTGTTCCTCAAGCACAAGAACTCTAAGCTCTTTACAGCCTAGAGGCATTTTACCGGCACATGAAGGAAATGCTGCTCCCTTGCGTCTTTTCGGCCTCGGGTTAGCTATCTCCTCCTGACAGTCTCCTCACCACCGGCTCCCACACTATTCTGTTACATAACCCTCTTGTATTTTCTTCATACTGTTTTCCACTGTCTGGAGCTAGCGTGGTCATTTATGTGTGTCGTTTATTGTGTGCACATCATTTATGATGTGCTTACTGTGTGTCACCCCAAAAGGAATATAAGTTTCGTGTTTACAGGGAAAAAGTCTGATTTGTTCATCTGTAGCTCCTCAATGCCTACAACTGTTGCTGGCATTCAAGAAATACCAAATGAATAAACTGAGTTCAATTTAACAGATACCTCAATCCCTCCCTCTATTTCCACTCAAGCAGCTCAATTCAGAGCATTCTCTACCATTTTGTCCTTTTTAGGAATGTCAAGTCAAATTCAACTCCTGGTTAGCATACTATAGCTGAAAAACAATAATAGGATACAATGTAGTACAACTAGGCGGCTGAAAAAACATACCCGCAAATCTTAAATATTTGTACTTACTGATACTAATAAACTTCACATGAGTATGCATCATAGCATTATCAACTAACTGAAACACCATTGTTACATAAAACCTTTGTGCTGCACCTATAACTTAGGTAACAGTGTGGGTGAAATGACATAATACATAGAGTATCCATCATCTTGTGTCTGCTTCTTAAAAGTGAAGGCAATTGCAGAGATTGTAATGCCTGATAATTCAAATGCAAACAGCATTATATTTAGGGGCCTCTTTCTCTTATCATGTAGAACTATATCCAAGGAATAAAATTTTTGAAGAGCCTCACTGCCTGTTTTCATTTTCCATGGGGCAGTTATGATACCCTACTAATAATTGGTCATTAATTGGTAATATTCAGCTTAAAAATGTTTTCAATTAGCTTTTTTAAAAAAAGATTTATTTATTTATGCATACAAGAGCTGAGGTACAGGCCAGAGATGCGGGGGCTGAGAGGATTCACCAGTGACAGAGTGGGAAACAGAAGAGGCAGACTGACTGAAATACACTGCTGAGGGGAGCAGCTGGCGAGATAGGAGAGGTCTGCCTTGCCATGTGGGTTACTCCCTGGCTGACTGGGGATCGAACTTGTGCTGCAGAGGCTGCGGATAACCTCATAGTGAGGTGCTTAACCCCTTGTGCCACCAGGGAGGCCCTCAATTAGCCTTAAAAATCAATTGGGAGATAATTTTCAAGTCCCTTCTCCCCTGCCCCAGACACTGATTTTCACTTCAGTCACTAATTTTCTGCCAGAACCACTTCAATTTTCTATTCTCTCTGCTCAAAATGTATTACCCATCCATCCCCACATGCACTCACAAACCAGTCACGCAAGAAATATTTACTGCTGGTGGTGTGCTCAGTACTTTGCTGAAGCTTTGGGATATGGAGGTGAAGTGTAAAAATTATTCCTGCTCTTAGAGTCAAGATAAGAGACTAAATTACTAGGCATGAAAAACAGTGAGCAGAAAGATTATGCTAAGTGAAATAAGTCAGATGGAGAAAGACAAATAGTGCATAATTTCATTCATATGTGGAAAATAAGGAAACAGAAAAAAAAAGAAAGCAAAATAAAAGCTAAAAAAAGCAAGATAAAAGCTAGTTATCAGAGGGAAGGGGGTCGCAGTGCAGGTGAAATGGTAAAGGTAGGCAATTGTGTGGTGGTGGGTAGAAACTAAATTTTGGTGGGGATCATATTGTGGCATATACAGATAATGTTACTACCATATATTTTTTTAAAGCGTAGTATCTTAAAGGATAAAATAAAGCCACAGAAGGCAGACTAGAGCTTGTTCTTTAAGTTAAAAAAAAAAAAAAAGGGCATTTAGTGCAAATGGATTAAAGCACAAAGGAATAAGGGGGCTTGTTTGTGAGCTTTGAGGAGACTTGATTAAAATGGAATTTACACTGGAAAAAAGTGGGAAATGCAGTTAGTTAGCAAAGGATAACATCTCATCAAGACACTGAATGCTGGGCAGAGGTATTTAGATTTGTTTGACCAGACAACTTGGATTTATATTTACTCTCATCTTTCTCCCCATGTTCCAAATTTGTAGAGAAAATAAAAGACTTCTTTCTGTTGAATAATTCCTTCCTGGAAGTCTTCTATTTGTAGTGATGACAGTCAAAACCCTCTGAAGGTATGTTAAGAATAGTGGCTGAAACCTCAAGCTGGGATTTTTTAGCGTTTATGTTTTTTCATAAGGTGCCTTTTCTATTTTTAAACTTAAATAATTTAGTTTGGAAGTATGAAAGAAATGTGATCTTTAATGAGAGGTGATTTTTTTTTCTGACAGCAAATGTATTTTTTTTATTTCAGCTGTTTTTAAGGCATGGTTTCTTTCTCAGCTATCATAAACTGATTGTGATTTGTCTCAGGATCTAAAATAAGAATATAATATATGCATCTGGGTAACACATGGCCTAAATTTTAATATTTTTTAATGTAAAGCTTATTTCTACCACCTATAATCTATATCATTGTCAAAAGAATGAAAAATAATTGTGGGATATATATTAGGGACCAGCATATTATTCAGGATAGACTAAGATAAATTGCTGTAAAAAAATATTCTCAAATCCCAGTAGTTTAACAAAATAAAGATTAACTTTCATCATAGGTTGGCAGGGGTCATGTCCTAATAGTTACTCAGAGACCCTTACTGACAGAAGCTTCATCATCTGCAGCTCCACCATCTAGCTTTTGGCATCGTTAGCCCTACTGTCAGGGAAAGAGGGCGTGGAAAGTCATGCACAGCTCTTGTTTGCTCTGGTGTGTTGGGGAGAACTAGTTACTTGGCTCCATTCACTCAAAGTGTTCCACCTACAAGGAGTGTGGGAATAGTCTCCTAGTGTCCAAAACAGGTAGCAGAATGAGATTCTGGTGAGCACTGCGTAGATCTGCCATGACCAGACATCAGGCCAATGTGCTTCCTATGTCTTATTTCATCTTCACAAAGGCTTTAAGGAGCATTGTCCTCATTTTGGCAGGCGAGAAAAAAAAAGTAATGTGGCGAAATAGAAAGAGATTTGGGTCCATAGTCCTGGGATGCAATCTTAGTTCTGTTATTTATTAGCTATAAGACAACCATCTGATATGTCACTCTTGCACAATTAAATTGTATGCATCACAGTTTACTCTTGTTGTGTAGGGACCCATCTTTTGTCTTCCCTTGAAAGTCTATACTCCAATGATCACAGTTATTATAACTATAGATTCAATGGTAAATTTCTGGAAAAAAATAGATGTTCTTTTTTGTAGGTTTTTTTTGTGCTTAGTCCAGTAACTAGCACCTGGGAATGGCTTAATAATCATTGAAAGAATAATGCAAATACTTTTGGGTCATCTGTTGTGTAAAGATGTCAGATAAAAATGGAGATGTTGGTAATGATACAGGTAACTTGCCATATTCCAGAATAGCATAGCAAAAAAATGTACTTCAATAATTTTCTGGGTCTTTTTAAAATCTATAACAAAACTACTTAATAGTTTTGGTAAGCTATATATAAAATTCATAGACATGTTCATTTACTAAGATGTTAGTTTTCTAGCTCCACCACAACAAAGCACTAGAAACTACGTAGCTTAAAACAACAGATATTCACTGTCTCACAGTTCTGAAGGCTAGACTCAGCAAGATTGGTTCCTTCTGAGGACTATGACAGAAAATCTGTTCCTTGCCTCTCTTGCTGACTTCTGGTGATTGCTGGCAACACTTATCATTCTTGGCTTGTAGATGCATCAATACAGTCTCTGCTTCTTTCACAAGGCCTTGTCTCTGTGTTTCTTCTTTCTAAGGACATCAGTCCTATCTTAGCAGACCCATTTTAATGATCTCATCTTTACTTAATTACATTAGCAAAGACTCTATTTTGAAATAAGGTCATAATATATACCAAACTGTTCAGAATGACTTACTTAAAGGGTCCAGAATAATCAGATATAACTCATGAGAAAGACAGTGTCAAAGGAAAAAAATAAGGTCAACAAAAACAGTTGAAATGGGGCCTCCCCGGTGGCGCAGCGGTTGAGCGCTGGGTTGCGAAGATGCCCGCAGCCTCTGCAGCGCTGGTTCGATTCCCGGCTGCTCCCGGCCACTGGAGGAGGGTCCCACATGGCGCGCAGACCTCCCCTGTCGCCCGCTGCTCCCCTCAGCAGTGTACCTCGGTCCCTCTGCCTGCTCTGCTCCCCGCTCTGGCTCTGGTGAATTCTCTCATCCTCCCGCGCTTCTGACTGTACCCAGGGCTTGTATAAATAAATAAATAAATAAATAATCTTTAAAAAAAAAAAAAAAAACAGTTGAAATGATGCTGGCAGTAATTAAGAGAAAAATGAATTTTATTACATGATCCACTCATGGGAATGACAAAAAGATTCTGTGTTCAGGAAAAAAAAATAATACTATTAAAAGTCAGAATAGTCAACTTTTAAGGCATACACAGAGTGAGAAAAGAAAATCCCCAAAGGGACTCATGAAATTAGGGTAAAATGTTAATTATTTCTCAAAGTGTTTTATTTTATTTATTACCAAATAGAAGATAGTAAATCTGTGCAGAATTCAAAGACAATTGACTTAATAAAAAGGAACAAAAATAGGTCTTTAGACTTATAGTCTTTAGACGTAATGGGAATTACATTTTGTGTAATTATCATTACTTTTCACTT